AAAGGTCGGCAGTCTGAATCCGCCAGCCACTCCTTGGAAACCCTATGGGGCAGTTCTTCTCTGTCCTGCAGGGTCACTATGAATCAGAATTGACTCGACGGCAATGGGTTTGGTTTTTGTTTTTGTTTTTGTTTTTTTTTTTTGGTATGTTAGTTACACTTTCAAATACCATGCTTAATGTGCTTTTAGGTGAAGTACCTCTAAATTTAAAGTAAAGGGTCGAACTATTAGATTGAAAAAACTAAAATGAAGACACCATAGTGTCCCTGAAAAACTAGATGCAATGGGAAATTACTGTATTTTTAGTACCTTTTCATAAATTTAGAGGTAGATCATCTAAAAAGGTATCTGGAGTAGGGGGGAAACATATTGAGTATATATATTTTTTAATTTAATAACATAACTGTCTCATTTATCTGATACTGCCATAACAGAAATAACCACGAGTGGGTGACTTTGAAGAACAGAAATTCATTTTTTCACATTTCTAGAGGCTAAGAGTCCAAATGAGGGTCTTGGCCGTGTTGATTCCTTCAGAGGGCTTCTCTCCCCCTCCTAGTTTCTGGTGTCTGCTGGCAGTTCTTGGCGTTGCTTGGCTTGTAGACAGTCCTCATGTGGCGTCTGTCATCCCCCTGTGTGTGTGTCTCTGTGTCTATTCTGCTATTCTGCGGGACACAATTCAATCCATAACAGTAACACGCTGTCTAAATAAGTTTAGCCTATGTTTTCCAATTGCGGTACAGTAAATTACTTAATATGGCCCTTCTAGCCATAGTCTTTGTAACTCCCACCAAATGACTGGATAAAGACTATGCAAATAAGGTGTCTGAAACCCTAAAAGGGGTCAGGTTTCCCATCCTGCTAGATTTAAAAGAGCAGTCAATTCCAGAGCAGAGGAGGATTTTACCACCACCAAGAAAGAAGAGCTAGGAGTGGAGTGTGTCCTTTGGACCCTGGATCTCTGTGCTGAGAAGCTCCTGGAACCAGCAGACGGAGAAAGAGAGAGCCGTAACGCAGAAGATGGCAAGAAGTGGTGGCAGACAAACGGCGGCAACAGAGGCAGAAAACGGGCAGAAGATGGCGTGGTGGGCTTCTCCTGGCCCATGGAGTGAGAAAGCTGAGCGCCTTCGGGCAGAAGCCTTGCTGGCAGAGTAGGGTGCTCCAGGTACTTGGTGGAACTAGGTTTGCTGATCCACAGAGCTAGAGCTGTGTGCCTTTGTGCCGAGGCTCACTGGCAGAGTAGGGTGCTTCTGGGTATTTATCAGCAGAGCTAAAAGAGCTTTCTAACACTTGCCCAAGCAGGACAGAGGCCAGGCCAAGGGGCGGAGAAGCTGAGAGACTAGATACCTGCCTGCGGGCACAGCTGAGAAGTAGCTGTCCTGATCAAAGAACTGTATCCTGAGTCTTTCCTGATCCTAAATTGTAACCTCTTACTTCCCTAATAAACCCTGTAACTGTGAGTATGGTCTGTGAGTCCTGTGTGGCCATTGCAACAAATTAGCGAACCCAGCAGAGAAGTAGAGAGTGCCATGGGAGGAACGGCTGGTGTTAGAGTTGGTAAAAAGGCTGGAGGGAGGAGTCAGCCTCCTGCATGAAGTTAGAGGAGCTCAGACACTCCTGCCACACCATTTTTACACCAGTTTTGCAGACACCCTCTCCATGCATAGAAAAAGCTTCAAGGACATGTACCAAACGGTAAAACGTTGATGATTCCTGAGAGTAGAAATATGTGGAACTTTTCCCTTTTTTTTTTTTTTTTTTTTGCTTATTTATTACTTTCAGTTTTTCTGCAGAAATTAAATAAGGAAAGATAAAAATATCATGGTCTTTTCTTATATAAAAAAGATAGAAGCAATAAAATGTCCTTAGAAGCATGAGGCTGGTGAGATTTTGGCTCGCTTCCTTTGGATGCTTCATCAGGAAAGACCAATCACTACAAAAGGACATCATATTTGGTAAAGTAAAGGGTCAGTGAAGATGAGGGAAATCCTCCAAGAGATGGAGTGACACAATAACCACAACAATGGACTCAACGTGCCAACGATCATGAGGATGGCGCAGGACTGGACAGCGTTTCATTCTGTTATGCATGACATCACCATGAGTTGGAGCCAACTTGACGGCAGCTACAACAACAACAGAATCAGTAAGAATAAGAACTGGTCAGAGTTGAAGAGAGTTGCAGTAACGTGTTCTGAAGGCAGTGACCACGGGGACTTGGCTGTTCCTATGTGAAGGGCAGGGCCCATGTCCTCACGTCCGTGTCCGTTGTCTGCCAGCCTGCCATCCACCCAGATTTCCTCAACACCGAGGGACCCTATGCTAATTCATTCGCTCAACAGATATTTATGGAGCAACCGTGTGTGCCACGTACTCCTTGGTTCTGGAGATACAGTGGTAGAAAAAACAGACAGAAACAAATCCCTGCCCTCGTGGAGAATTAGAAAATAAAAAAGGAAAAGGAATGGGTATAATACTGGAGAGTGATAGGTGCTAAGAAAAAATAAACCAGGGCAGGGCTGGGCAGTGTTGGGTGGCTGGAGAGTTGAGGTGAGAGATGGCAGCAGGTGACACGGGAGTGAAGATCTAAAGGACGAGATGCCCTGATGAGGAGAACTCTGTTTCCTCATCCTGGCTAACGAGGACTAGGTGTGAGTCACCTCACTGTGGTCACTAAGAGGCATGGATCGCCATCAGCCCAGCCTCCACAGCAGGCCAGGTATTACGTCGCTGATCTGCACCCTGGTGTCCTCCAGCCTCCACCTCCCATGGACTGCTGTTTAGAAATTAACGTCTTGTATATTGGTGGTTCATTGGTAGAATTCTCCCAGCCAGTGCACCTCATGCACAGCCACTACTCGTCTGTCCGTGGACGCTTCCGTGTTGCTATGATGCTGAACAGGTTTCAGCAGAGCTTCCAGACTAAGACAGATTAGGAAGAAAGACCTGATGAGCTGCTTCCAAAATCAATCAGTGAAAACCCTGTAGTTCATAACAGTCCAATCTGCCACCAATCATGGGGATGGCTCATTTAATTTAATTCATTTAATTAATTTAATTCTGGCAGCATTTAATTCTGTTGTGCACGGGGTCACCATAAGTTGGGGACCAACCAGATGGCAGCTAACAACAGTGAAACTTGGAAGCCCCACCCCAGATTTTTTTCCCCACCATGCTTGGGAGTTGCTCCTATAGAGTGCTAGGTTGGATGGCTGGTGTTCATACTGAAGCACTGGGTTCCTCTGATAAATAATCATATGATGCTGACTGTTATGTTCTTATTCATTACAGCCCCAGCACCCAAAAGACAGAAATGTGACCACTGGACCCCATGTCCCCAGAACACCTATGCCTACCGGTTGCTCAGCGGGGGTGGCAGGGACAAGTATGCCAAAATCTGCTTTGAGGATGAACTGTAAGTATCAGTCTTAAAAAAGAAAAAAGTAAGTATTGTGTTTGATTCTTTCCCATTCTTGGAGGCTTATGATACAGCAAGTCTTGCCAACAGGAAGGAAACGCATATCCTTGATCTCAGGCAAAAGGTGCAGAGCAGAGCACTCGAGAAAATGAGGGTGCGCTCTGTGTTCACTGGGGAAGAATGTCAGTTGTCTCAATGGTTTCGCGTGTCCCTGGGCTGAAAGGCTTTGTACTTTCATTTGACAGCAGTTAGAACAGACCTTTCTTAGACCAAATTGTCCATTCTTCTGGCAATCCATGGTATGGCCAATATTCTTCCCTAACACAACAGTTCAAGCACCTCAGTTCTTCTGTGGAAGCAGAAGTCAAGGACTCAAACGACGTATTGAGTTGAGCAAATCTGCTGCAAAAGACCTCTGTAGAGTTTTTTAAAGAGCAAAGATGTCACTTTGATGACTAAGGTATGCCTGACCCAAACCATGGTCTTTTCAATTGCCTCACAGAGTCATAGAAACAGCAACATTCAGCTGACACAACTTGCCTTCCATTTTGTTCTATGATCCTCACGCACACAGACTGAGTCAGGGTTTGTTTTTCTTTGCAGTCCACACCTCCTATTGAGCTTGTCCTGTTGAACTTGATCGTCTACCTCAACCAGTGCTTTCAGCTGTCATCCACCTAGTTTGTGGACGCTTAGGCACTTCAATAATTAATACAGATGAGAGGAAGTGTGGGCTGTTCCTGATAATGAGTAGCAAGTCTTTGCTCATTACCTACCCCTTTTTCCAAGTCTGTATATACCTTCCTTTGTGGTGGTTGGTTGGTTTACTGCCCTCAACACTTGACATTGCTCTTAGGGCATTGACCTTCCTCTGTGTTTGTCCCTGTTCTTGTCTTGTCCTCCCAAGGAGCTTGTAGAATACTCAGGGCATGAACTGTGTCTTTTCAACTTTGCACACCTTAAACTGGCTTAGAATAATCCCTACTCATAGTAGCCAGTTTAACCATTTGCCATGGAGTCTATTCTGACTCATGATGACTCCACATGTGTCAGAGTAGAACTGTGCTCCATAGGATTTTCAATGGCTGGTTTTTCAGAAGTAGACCACATTTCTTCCGAGGTACCTCTGGGTGGACTCAGACCTCCAACTTTTGAGTTAGCAGCTGAGTATGTTAACTGTTTGCATTACCCAGGAACTCCCTTATTCATAATAAATGAAATCGAACCAAACCCGTTGCTGTCAAGTCGATTCCAACACATTCATAGTAGTCCTTATTAAATCTTTTTGGATTGAGTAGAAATAACACCTCTTTCTCCTTTGCAGATGTATCACTTATTTAAGACATGCTTAAATCAGCCAGGAAGTTTATCAATCAGCATTTACTGACGGATGAACTAGCGTGTGTAAGCTACTCACTGGTGGGGACAATGAGATTAAACATGTGGTTCTTGCCCTCAAGGAGCTTACAGTATAGTTCAGGGTTTCTCCTCCTCAGCACTATTGACATTTTAGGCCACATAGGTCTTTCTTGTGGAGGACTGTCCTGTACATTACAGGACATTTAGCAGCATCCCTGGCTGCCCCCACTAGATGCCAAAGAACACCCCTTCCCTGAGTCATGACATCTACAAAC